CATGACCTTTTTAGCGCATTAACCAATTAATGATTTCGCAACTCCCGCCTTAATAATTTTAGAGTGACAACTTTGTCTGAGAAGCACCGGTTTAGCCACCCTCTTACCATATTCTCAACATATGCCATTTCTTACCTAAATGCGCAAGTCCAAAAACTGCAACATGTTCTCCTCTGGTTTTTATACTGTGAAATACAACTCCGGGGCCGTTGACCTAATAAGCTTTTCAAGATACTCCGATTTTCCTTCTTCAAACGTGCAGACAACAATATCATAAATATATCTTCTGACGAAGCCCGCGTTAGGTGACAACTCATTCATCCTGTCAAACAATACTCTATCCAAACTGTTGGGGTATATCGTACATCTCAGATAACAACGGAGCGACCGACGAGCCTATGCATACACCTTCTTTATGGATCGAAACAGGAAGTTTGCCAGAAGGCACATCGCGAGAAGTCGGTACTGTGAGAGAATTATGTTGTTAATGAGATTCCTTTGGAGTGTGGATTTAAATACGTAGGTCAGACGTCGAGATGTCTAATGATAGACTGACGGAACACAAACGGAATGTGAAAATCAACGCGTCCAATTCCGAGTTAGCCAGGCACCTTCTAGAGTTTAATAACTGTAAAGCCAACTGGTCTGAAACGGAAGTAATTCACAAAGAACGCAATGATATGAAACGTGTAGTCCAAGAAACGATTCGTATAAAAACGTCTGGCAACTGTATAAGTCAGGCGTAATTGCAGTTTGGGAACGAATGTAATCAATTTCTACGCTTGTAATTTTTTTGTAGTATTAGTGTTGTTTATATGTGTATCCGTGGACTTGTTCGAGAAAGTCGCAGTGTTATCCATTTGTGGTTTGTGGTAGGAGGGCATTGTCCTTCGCATTTTTGGAGATGGCCCCAGTTCCGGCTGTTAGCAGTGTATAGTATTGTTTCTTTGGACTGAGTGATTTGTTAGAGGCAACGCACCTTTGAAGGTCAAACCCTTTCTTTGTGTTCAGTAGTGATTTTACCTACGTTCGCCGGGTAACGGCGGTTATGCTAGAATGTGACCCTTTGTGTGAGTGTCCCACAGCCGAGGTCAAGGGAGATGTAGAGAAGGTTTACCCAAATGTCATTGTCCTCTTGTCGTGTTTTTTTTTTTTTTTTTTTTTTTTTTTGTAGAGACGGCGTTGGAGATGGAGTATATAAAGCGTGTTCGAAATAAACTTTGCAGCTGAGTTTGAGACGTTACCTCCTATTTTACTACCTTTTGTTGTGTTCCCTTTTCTGCCCAGTCTCAGGTTTACAATCATGTTCAACTTACACCATCTCGCCTGCACTCTGAATATTATTTCCAATATGTTTATATTTTAACAGAATCGTTCGCGGGACCTGTTTTTTTTTCGTTTTAATTGTAGGCGATTCGGGAAAATTAGTATCTTGCGAAAAATAAGTCGTCTACAGTCTTCGAAATCTCCAATTCTAAGGCAAATTGGCTTTGCCGGGGATACGTTGAGGAGCACACCACCATTCAAAGGTATGCCAAACTGCTTTAGATATTGGCAAGGACACAATAACAGATTAGGTACATAATTTATTGCTAACGGCCTTTTATGTCATTAACGCTGTCAAAAATTACTTATCAGTATTTGCTGCTTCCCATACAAAAATAAATCGCATATTTATTTCTTCACGAAATGCAATGTCCACTTGACAATTGCACCACTTGAAGGAATCAGAACTGTCCATACGATACATTTTTCCAAAGCAAATTCACAGTGCACATTTTCAAAGGAAACATTCATAGTTACCACTAAACGAACTTCAACACTGTTGGCAGCTCAGCAGGGTACTTTAGGTTGAGACAACAGTATGTGGCGTACATCAGCTCCATAGCAGACAGGAAGCTGGCGCCTTCGAAGCACCTGGTGCCATCCAGTGGCAGTCGAAGATGCTTCTGCCTGAAAAAAGTCTATCTTTTTAGACATAAAGGAACGCTGAACCAAACGTTTATGATTGCAATTGTGTTTGAGAGCATTAATACCTAGGACTTTGGGAGTTATACTATTTTCAAACATGGCACACCTTTTAAGTTTTTATCTGGGGAGTAGATTTTCAGTTTCTTCCGGTTAGCATGTATACCCATGAGTTTTATCGCGTTATTCTGGTGATATGTATAGTATCTTCTATTAATTCACAAGGCAAAACCGCACTCCGTTGCGGTGAATGAACTTGATACGCATTGAAAACAAGTCAAATCCCATCCTCTAAAAAAAAAGGGAGCTTGACACACAAAACCCAATTACAATTCACGAGCATGCTCATGAATGTGCGAGGCTGCATGCACAATGCGCGAGTCTGGTCGCATATTCACGAGCAAGCTCCTGAATTGCGATGTTGGTTAGGTCATGATGGGCGAAAATATTTGTTTGAGCGCTCTGCAGTAGTTTGTATTGGTAGAGCAAAGCTGTGCAACTATGGCCAGGATTCGGGTCGTCCAGTGAAAGAACGTTAACGCGCGTCGTGCGTACAGCAACTTCCGGTAGAGCTGCACGGCGTCGTGCGTGCAGCATTACCCTACATAAAAAGGGTGTCCTTCTCAGGCCATAAGCGGGAGTTCACTCTGAGCATGCGCAGCGTTCAAAGAGCTCCAATGTGGCGTCCAGTGAATACCACCTATTATAATAGAGGTTTCGACTCGACCGGGGTAATTTCAAAGTATATTCGTCTATCAGTAGCCCGAGTTATTTAAGAAATATCAGTCCCGAAAAAATGACATCAATTTAGTCCACAAAACACCTGGAGTGATGGAGCATCCGCGGCGCGCACACGAGTATTAGCAAGACGATGATTGATTACTGGCACAGCGCGGATAAGTTTACTGGGCGACTGAAAATATCGCATTATAATGCGTTGCTATTCCTAAGATGCAAAAGCCTGCATTATTTCTCTGCATCAAGCAGGTGGCACCTTTATTGGACCGCATATTGGGAAAGCTGCCAAGAACGCTCACACGGTCCAGCAGCTGAGGAACGCAGTGCTCCTCTCTGCTTTCAGACGCATACAAAAAAAAAAAAAAGTTAAAAACAAGCTTCGTTTATCGAATGCTATATTGAGCATATCTTACGCTTTCGACCTTAAGAATATGCTTCGCTCCTTAAAACATCAGTGACCAATGTTCACGTCTTCTAATACGATCTTCCCTCATTCTCCAATTGCCATATCCCCCTCCCCGATAAAGCACTGAACTTTGAACCATGTGTGGTTGAAGTTGGCGGCGAATCTAGTTTAATTCGACGCGCTTAAGTCACGCATGTTGACAGCGGCTTGGCATAATAATGCGGGAATATTGCGGAAACCGTGCTCTCCTGTGCCCAACTACTAAGTAGGGTAGGGCAGTATGCCGCCCCGAATCAGGAACTATAAAAGGCCTAGCTTTATGCGGCTGGGAAGACGAGACGCTACACGATGGGCATCCCGAACTTGGAATATACGACACCTTTAGAGATAGTAAACTAACACTGCGTTAGGAACAACTTAACGTATACGTACCTTGGAAAACGAAGCCGTCTACGCACTGTAGAACGCCGGTGACGACGCGACAACAACGTTAAACTCGCTTCCGAACGGGTAGCAGCACTCTGCAGCCCCCGGGCCCACGCCAGCCGGCAGCGGCTTGCGCATGCGCGGGACAGAGATGTCTTCCTGCGCGGGGCGTAACTCGGCTGACGGGCGCTGTACTTCCGCGGTCTGATAGAGTTCCATAAAAATTGCTGGATATCCGGCACTTTTGGGCGCGTTCAATTAGCTTATACCAGTTAAACCGGCTATAAACTGTAATCTTGTAAGGCTTTTTTTATTGATACGGATAAGCTCATTCTTATTGCTTAAATAGCACATTTCAATGCATATGGTACAGTTCCTGTTTTTGAAAGCAAACAGCACATTATATGCATTTCCAGAAAACGGGGCATGTTCTATTCGGTATTTCCACGTAGATTGATGGAATTTTCTAACAGTGTAGCAAAGGTTGTACAAAACTATTTAGAACAGCGATATCAGTAGATGTTACACACGCGACTTGCACAGTTCTTAATGCCAATAGAAAAATGTTCGTCATACGTTGGGTCTTAGAGTCTTCTGTCGTTGCGAAGGTGGAGATGGCTGAGCGGGCGAAGTGTTGGGCTCCGGGTCTTCAGAAGTCCGGACGAACCCAGCGAGGGCGGAGGGCAGGCTGACGAATCTCTGAGTTCCCGGCCTTGTGGAACCAGGACGCACTCAGCGGGAGCGGTGGCCAGGCGAGCACATTCTTGAGTTCCCGGCCTAGTCGAACCGGGACGAACTCAACGGTCAGCCAGCTCCTCGGACCGCTTGTCTTCTTCAAACTCTTTTTGTTCTTTTTCGCTCGTGCCTTTTCTTCGGCCGTCGACGGCATATCTCGTGGCACGCGGGGCCACCTCATGGCGAAAACATCTGTAGCCCGGTGATGGTTCTCAGCCGCGCACATCACAAGAGTCCCTTTTTACCAGTTTTTTTTTTTTTACAGAAAAAAAACTATGTTAGGTGCGCGAAGGTTACACATATCAATAAACGTACACAGAAAACACTCGAAGGACAGATATTTCAAACCGCATGCATTCATCACCGAACGTAAACTACACTTTCTCTCAACTAGACTACGCGGCTCTTGTAATCCGCACCTACATTCTCTAGGCCCCTGATATGTTCAACACGAAAGCACTATTTTTTCAAGGCCAGGCTCAACATCCTTCCTAGCGTACTTCCTCATTTCACGATACCAGAAATCGCGCTTAAGTCACTCGTCACAGAACTTTCACTTGACGCGAAACCTCCTCTCAATTTTCCCCACATCTAAGACACGATTGGAAGCCGAACCAAATATGCACGAGATGCGGACCAAAACACAAGCAAAAGAGGTGAATTCATTCTTACTTCCCAAGTCAAAAATCGTAGTAGCGACCATTCTGCCGCTGCAAGGTCGCTTTCTTCACAGATGGATGAGCGACTCCTCGATCTGCAGGGGGAACTTTTCCTCGCAAATTCATTTTCTCTCCAATTAATGCTTGGAAACAGCCTTTCGCTTTTCGGACACATAGAGCACTTCTTGTTTTCCGTCTTTCTCCGGAACGCTTTCAACGCTTTCTGCCAAAAAGCGTTCGTTGCTCAACCCCTGGTTACGTCCGGCGTACGCCCTCGAAGGCGACGCCGACGTCGACATTGGTCTCGGCTTGCGCCACGAACCCGGCACGTCCCTGGGCTCCTTCTCGAAGTCGAACAGCCGTGGATCACTCCTAGACCTTCCGTTACGCCTGCGGAAGTACCTCCCGTAGAAGCGTCGGTGTGACCTCTGCTGGGCTGGGGTGTCCTCGTATTCGGCCTCCACTTCAAAATGGAAATGGGGTCTCATGTCTTCAGCGGGTAGCGAGCTCCTTTTCATATCTCTGGGGCGGCGGTAGTGGTGGCGCAAACCGGGTCTCCCAGGCCGCAGCCATCGCTGCGGTGGCGGCTGCGGCCGCGGCGAGTCTGGCACGAGCACTACGTCATGGAAGTTGTCCGAGGCCTGCACACCGTGGCGCGGGTTGGGCATCGGTCGGCGTTGACTCCGTCTCGGGAACCATCGCCCTCTGAAGCGTCTTTTGTTCGTGGCGTAAGGCAAGCACGGTACGGGCTCGCCGGCGGGACCTGTCACATTGGCGGCCTCGCGTCCCTTCTCACCGACGACGACGTCAAACTCGACGGTCTCACCCTCGTAAATGCTGCGCGTGACCTTCTGCGGGCTGTTCCGCGTGATGGCGGTCTGGTGGACGAAGATGTCTTCCTGCGTGTCGTTGCGGTTGATGAAGCCATAGCCGTTCTTTACGTTGAACCACTGGACGGTGCCCAGCACCCGCTCGGCTAGCACGGGTTTCTTCGCGGTCACCTGCATGGCGCCAATGTCAACGGTGGGCGCTTTTCGACGTTTCCCAGTAACCCTTGCTCCGGCTAGGATCGAAGTGGTGCGAGATGCTCTGGCTTCCGGTCATTCATGGAGTCTTCTCCCCGAGCTTTAGAGGCCCCCGCCGGTTCTTTTCAATGAGGATCGGGAGAGGATGCGTCCCGCGAGCCGGGAACATTGCCGACTATTACATCGTAAATTGGAGCGTCAAGGCATTTGGCCACTGCGGTCCCCGTGAAATAGGGGGAGGTGATATCCACTTGCGCCTCAGGAACGTCGATGCTTCGGCCATCTATCAGCCGCAATGTGGCTGTGGTCCCCGTGAGTGCTGCCTCCGGGACGAGCGAGCGACGCACCACCACGGTGTTGCTACCGGTGTCCCTTAAGGCGGAGACAGCCTGGCCGTCAAGTGTACCTTTTAAAACAGGCATCTCGTACGCTGTCTTGGCCCCCCCGTTGCTCAACATCGATACCGTTTCGATCGCCCTCTTCGATTTTAGGATTAGGCCCCAAGGCCTGACGCAAATGTTTTTTTCCGCTTCCTAGAGACACACAACAGAAAGCTTCCTTCGAGTCACTGCCCTTTGTGCAGGTCTTAGCATCGTGACCTGTTCGACGGCAGTACACGCAGTAGAGTTGGTTCAGTTTCGAACGGCAGTCGGATGCCCTGTGTCCCGGAATGTCGCATACAAAGCATTTGACCAGAGATTTGTTGGTAGTGTTTACTTCCTTTCCTCTTGTGTCCACCAACTCAGTCTTTTCCCCAAATACGAGCAGGTTGCGTTGTCGTTGGGCTTCCAGGAAACTGTCCGCCACCCCAGCCGCCACGCTGAGAGTCTTGCATTTCCTCTCTCTAAGGAACAGTGTTAGTCGTCTGTGGCAGTTATTAAGAAACTGCTCGGTTACTACCAAGTCTCGTAGCCCTTCAACGGTAGACGCCGTGCCGTAAAGTTCCACCCAGCGATCAAAGAAACTGGCAATTCTTGCCGCATACCGTTTTCCGGTTTCACCGTCCTGGGGTTTGCTCTCACGGAACTTCTCCTTGTACCCCTCCGCGGTGAAACGAAAACGCTGCTGCAACGCTAACCTCGTTTTCTCGTAATCCATCGAATCCTCCGGACCGAGTCGACCAAAGAGCTTCAAAGCCTCCCCGCTGAGGCACATACTCAGAGCTGTGGCTCATATTTCTGTCGGCCAATTGTATCCCGCTGCGATGTGTTCAAAGCGTTTCAAATACGCATCTAGAATATCCCGTCGTTCATCGAAGGGCGGGATCATCTTGTGCGGATTAATTAGCAATGAAGAGCCTCCATCCGCCCCTCGGTCACCTGCTGCCGTTACTCTGGTTTGACTCTCGGCCTCTGCCAGCCGAACTTTCAGTAACATAGTTTCGCGTTCGTACTCGGCTAGCGCGCGTTAAGCAGCTAACTTCTCCTTTGTCGCCTCTCGTGCGCACTCGGCTAGCGCGCGTTCAGCATCTAACTTCACCTTTGCCGCCTCTCTCTCGGCTGCGCGATCCTCACGTGAGAGCCTCTCTCTCTTTTTCCTGCGCCTGTTCAGACTCCACCCAAGCCCTCAACTCCACGTCGCGCAGCCCCAAGCGCTCTCCAAGCCCGATCAATTCTTTTGTACTCATAGTCTCTTTCTTATTTAAACAATGCTTAAACAGTCTAGTCATGTCGCGGACGCCAATTTGTCGTAGGTTCGTGGGGATGTCGTGTCATAAATAATGAGAACGAGACCGTTGGTTTTGAGAATTGTTTAAACAAAGAAGATATAAAGAAAAATATTTACACCAATAGTATTAGCAAAGGTTCTACAAAACTATTTAGAACAGCGATATCTGTAAATGTTACACACGCGACTTCCGCAGTTCTTAATGCCAATAGAAAAATGTTCGTCATACGTTGGGTCTTGGAGTCTTCTGTCGTTGCAAAGGTGGAGATGGCTGAGCGGGCGAAGTGTTGTGTTCCGGGTCTTCAGAAGTCCGGACGAACCCAGCGAGGGCGGAGGGCAGGCTGACGAGTCTCTGAGTTCCCGGCCTTGTGGAACCAGGACGCACTCAGCGGGAGCGGTGGCCAGGCGAGCACATTCTTGAGTTTCCGGCCTAGTCGAACCGGGACGAACTCAACGGTCAGCCAGCTCCTGGGACCGCTTGTCTTCTTCAACCTCTTTTTGTTCTTTTTCGCTCGTGCCTTTTCTCCGGCCGTCGACGGTATATCTCGTAACACGCGGGGCCACGTCATGGCGAAAACATCTATAGCCCGGTGATGGTTCTCAGCCGCGCACATCACAGTAATACCCCTGTTACACGGGCACACTTAACCGCGGTTAACTCAGCTTTAACTGCGGTTACGTGGCAGCACAGATGCCGCACTATACCCTCGGACAGCTATTTTAAAAGAAGTGAAGAGAGCGCGTGCACTGCTTTGATGGGTGCTCAAGATGCTCAAGCGCACGTTCGCCCATAGCTTTGACTGCATAGCCGCAGAATGTTGTCCGCAAGTATTGTGCGCTAATTGTAATTTAGCGTAACAGCAGTTAGGTGTGCCCGTGTAACAAGGGTATAACACACACCCACCCATTTCACGTGACACTACATAGGATAGCATTAGCTCAGTAGTTCACAGACACAGGGAGACAGCATAGACATGCCACGGCCACTCGATCCCCCCTGTTGGTGCGGCCTGCCGATGTTTTTCCAAAAACAAAAGAGCGCGCGTGAGAGGAGAACTTCTCCCATTTTCTGTGGGGGCGCTGCACATCGGTGAGCGGTAGAGTGCCTTCATACACACGCGCTTTTGCTTGAGTGGTGACATCTCGGCCATTTTTCCGCTCAATTGTTTTTCATGCCTTTTGAAGTGCGCCCAATCTGGTGTCACTCAGCTCGAGCGCGTAGCTTTGGCTAATGCGTAGACGCCATTTTACCGCCCAAGTCATGCACTGAGTGCGCGAGAGCGTCACGCGCTGGCACATTCAGTGCAACAATGGATGTCTTCACCCTGAGACAGACAGACATGCAGGCACCCTAGTGAGCGGTCTTGTGCGCTGAAAGCTATACTCTGTTTCGCCTTATGTTGTACCGCAGGAAAGGCTGTAAGCGCAAGCTCCTTGCTCTCGGGGCAGTTCTCGGCGGCACAAGCTCTCGTGCAGTAAGGGCAGCTGTCAACGCTATGAGCTCGCGCTTCCAGCCTTCACTGCGGTACAACATAAGGTGAAACGGAGTATAGAGAAGGCGCCCAACGCGCTCTTGCTCCGTTACCCAGATAAAATATCTGCCTGTCATTGGCTTCGCCGATACCGAGGCGCTGCCGCGGTTGCAGAAGGCAGCAAAACTCGCTTTCCCCCACCTATTGACCGTTGTGCTCGGCGAAAATATCGTAGTGTCACTCTGCGCTCGCGTGTGTGGTTTGTGCTGGCATTTTGGAAGCTGCCGGAAATGTAAATGCGCGTTCTAGTTTTGAGTGCCAGACGGCGATGAAATGTACCAACTCCACTCGTGAAACACGAAATCCTGCAGTTGATGAAGTACAATGAAGTCTCTTCCGAACTTGAGTTGGCACCGCTGACTTACATGGCTGGCTCTTTGGTCCTCGATTGCGAACAGAAGGTGACCATTTTTATTTGTAGAAATTGTCGTAATTTCAAAGTAATTAGCTGAAACATTCAACCTAGCAAAGAAATAAGAATTTCTCCGTGAAAGCAAGGAAGGCCTAATGTGTAGAACCCGCTAAATTTTGCAGATGACGTGTCCTGAATGCAAGCGCAACTTAAGGGAAATGCATCGCATGACGGAGCATATCAGTCCATGTTCAGCCTTGACCAAGCAGGACTGAGCTATCCACGACCTGAAGCTGTCTGGCTATGTAAGCTCGTCTGCACCTTTGTCGAGAGGGCTCTACAGTCGGCAGAGATTCCTGGTTGTGGAAAAATTTGCAAGGTGCTCTCGAGCGCTGTGCTTCCACATCTTTTGGACTGCCCGCTGATGTAGTGTGTTAACTTCTGAGAGCTCTTTCTCAGAAAAATCCTCAGACCTTTTTGGCAAACTGGGCTGGTGACCTAAACAGCCAACTAGAGAATATTTTGAGGCTTTCGCGGAAGCCTCTTTCCCAAAAGGTACTTTGCTTGTGAACCATATGACTTCCTTGGTCTGTTTTTTGTAAACTATGAAGTTTATATTGCTGAAGTTATGCACGCGGAGTCCGATTTTATATTGTCCTTCACAGATGAATAAATGGCACAGCTCGCGCGTGCTCGAGCGTCGGTTAAAACCGGAAATCATACGGCCTAGATATATCCAACTATAACTCCTATATTACAGTGGTAATAAAAACGGGCAACAGTCTTTAACGCGCAGCCTGCAGCTGAGCGAGCTTTTCACAGAAAGAATCATGTGCTTTTATTCTACACAGATTTGTCACATCATTCATGCAATCGGGCACTCGTTTCAATTAAGACTTGCGGCTTCACGAAAAAAAAATCTAAAAAGCCACACCGGGCCACCCGGGCGTACTGCTCCTCTCTCATTATATTTTGTATTATCTTAGCATGGACTAACCGCGGACGCTGTGCTAGCGCGAGCGGCTAGCCTTTACTGCCTTGACTGGAGCACTCGCTGCACGAGCGCTCATGCAGCCTCCGAGGCTTCCTTCGAAGCCACTATCTCGCGCTTTTAGCACGCGCGGCTAACAAGTACATACTAACGTGAAACGAAATAGAGAGTTCCTCGATATGCTGTCCCGAAAGGAACTCTATCTCTCACCGATAACGAGCGCCACAGCTGGCGCTGTGGGGTAAAGTAGAACTATCGCTCTCACCGGCGGAGTGAGGCATACGGCAGGCCGCTCCCAAGGGGAGTCCTAATCGAGTGGCCGTGGACATGCAATGTACATACGAACGTCAACATGAACAGATAGTACCCCAAATACTCACTACATGCGCTGCGCTTCTGCTTTTGCCGGCGTCGTTTTGAAAGCACAAATTTCTTCCGTGATCACATAAGCAATAAATGACGTTACCTGTATCATTACTTTTTTCCGGAATGTTAGTGCTCAGAAGATATTTAAACAACCCAAAGGAAGAATCTCTTAGTAAAACGTACAATTTGACGCTGCAATTACTTGCGACGGCTGATAAAGCAACCCGCTCCGTTGCGGCTGTGAGCAGCCATGTGTTCGCATTTCCCGGAAAGCACGTTGTGGAATAGCGTAAAGACCGTCATTTTTCGATGATTGTTTTCTTGTTTTTGTGTTTACGATGTTCAGCCACGATTTGCGGCAGGTGTTGAGGACGGTTAGCTATGACAGGGCGCGTTCGAAAATATGCAAACGGGGGGCGGGAGAGGAGGGGGGGGGGTTAATTTGCGTAAATAAGTAACTATCTCTTACTTGACTATGCACAGTCGACGAAAGAAACAAAACGCATATTAACCGGTTGCTGTGCCGAGTGGCTCTGGCAAATCCACCGAGAAACATTTAATGACAAGGAGCACTCGATGTTATAAAATCATCAATTTCTGACCGATGATCAGTGCATTCCTCTTTTTGATACTCTTATGCGTTAAGAGCTCATGGCTTTTACGAGAGGACAGAGGGCTAAAGTGCACATTCGAAACTTAAGCGCGCACAGAGCCCGATTATAACATTTGGGGATCAATTTGATTTACATAAGTAGCACGAAAAACATTTTACTTTAAGAAAGGGGCTGAACACCCTGAGGCAGTTCAAATGTGCCGTTTAAAAGTGACGTGTTGATTTGTGATAGAAAAAATACGAAAATAAATCAAAGAAGAAAAGCCAGAACGCTGGCAGCTACCTTTTGCGGGCTCTGCCACAAGTTGACTGTCGACTAGAAGCTATTTGGCTATAACACGAAGCAAATTTTCCTGGCTCATCGTTTGTACCTCTGTTTCATTTCGTTTATTTCTATTATTCCAAACTGTAAATATACCTACAAGATGTATGTTCATCATATCTCAAGCATGTTCTGCCCTTCCCCAGGAGCGTAATCGCTTTCGAGGAGTAGACAACAGGCCACTCCGGATGACGTTTAAATTGACCACTTTACGATAGCAGCTACGGTTTAGAGCAACGTTCCACCATGATTATCCGCGAGTCGATATATTGCACCATAATCGCTCAAACGGTCTTCTTAAACTCTTCAAT